CGAAAAGTGCTGTTGTTAAGGGATATATAAATGGTGCCTCCCCTGATGCGCCTCGAATGCGTGTTGAGTTATTTCTCGATTTGCCGTTTAATGCCACGGGGTGTCAAAACGTGCTGGACCCTAGTCATGACCATCGAAACTGCATGCCCATGCAACTTTGTACTCATGGTAAGGAAGTTGCGTAGAAGCGTGCTGTGGCACGAACGTCAGCAATGTCCGACGAGACCGACATTCGTTTCCCCTTAAACATCGGTGACATTTGTGTGCGAATGTTTCAAACTCACCGAACCGTAACATGCATATTACTGCGCCATATTCACTCTAAAAATGTACATGCCCTGGGCTTTTGCGCACAATGTACCGTGCCGTCTGGGATCCGATGTGCTGGTAGATTTTATATCCACCATATGCACGGGTGAGCTGTTTGGAGCGTTTTGAACCTTCCAAAGCGAGCTGTCACTATATCGTCTACAGACTGGTCGGCCTATAACCTGAGCTGTGGTGCGACTGTGACGACGATGTTCTGACCGGGGAGCATTCAGGCTGTGTCCAGACAGCGTGATTGTTTCTGGTGCGATGTCCCCAGCGCTGTCTCAGAGCCGTGTCCAGGGTGGTGTCCTGCGTTCGAACCGTCATCAACGCGTGCTGTGCTGACCGTCGGCGTGGGAGCCGTGTCCAGGATGTGTCCTGTTTCCGGACCGTCACCAGCGTGTGCTGTGCCGACCGGCAGGCTCGGTGTCGGTCGTCGGCGTCGGAGCCGTGTCCAGGATGTGTCATGTGTTTGGACCGTCACCAGCGCGTGCTATGTCGGTCGTCGGTGTCAGGGCCGTGTCCAGGATGCGTCTTGTGTCCGGACCGTCACCAGCGCGTGCTGTGCCGGTCGGCAGGCTCGGTGCCGGTCGTCGGCGTCGGGGCCGTGTCCAGGATGTGTCTTGTGTCGGGCCGTCACCAGCGCGTGCTGTTCCGGTCAGCAGGCTCGTGCCGGTCGTCGGTGTCGGGGCCGTGTCTTGGGCGGTGCCCTGTGTCCGGACCGTCACCAACGCGTGCTGTGTCGGTCGTCGGCGTCCGGGCCGCGTCCAAGATGTTGTCCTGTGTCGGAAACCGTCACCAGCGCGTGCGGTGCCGGTCGGCAGGCTCGGTGCCGATCGTCGGCGGTCGGAGGCGTGTTCAGACGGCCGGACGCCTACGCCAAGCTCCGCGCCGGCGCCCGCCTGGTGCAGCTGTACACGGCGCTGACCGTCCGCGGGCCGCCGGTGGTCAGCGACATCAAAACGCGAGCTGGCCGACCTCCTCACGTGAGGGCAGGCTGGCTCACGCTGGCGCAACAGCGGGGCGGGTGGCAGCCTTGAGACGAGGGAAATGCGCGGGTGGTGCTCATACCACACGGCGATTTACGTTAGGCACGAGTCGGTGTTCACTTTGCGAGAGTTGGGTCAGGACACTCTGCACGTAAATTCCTCAAATGCAGATGTGTGCATGCGGTTCAAGAGCAGGCCAGCATGTCCAGCTTTAATGGCATACTGATGAGTGCCCATCCACGGTGAAATGAGCATGGGATGTTATGACTTCATGGGGTATTAGGGGGCAGTGCAAACACTGCGCAGAAGGAAGTCGCGCGTCGCACGTTTTTTCCCTGGAACCCGTTTTCAAACACGCCTTGTCAAATGCTTGTTGCAAATGCTCAAATGTTTTGGCGTCTCGTGCACGGTTCTGCCTGAGCATGATCTCCAGCCGCGGTGTACCTTGTTCTCCAGCGCGGACGGGTTTGCCAGCGTGGAGGAGGCTGTTGGGAGCTGATCACCGCGCCGCGGGGGGTGTCGCAAGGTCGAATCCCTCGCCGCTGCTGCCAAGCTAACGGCTCACCAGGACATTGGCGACCCAGGACTCAGGGCTCCGAAGCCGACGGTCGGCGGCCATTTGTGTGTTTTGTCCGTGGTGATAAGGCGAAGGGAGAATGGTGTAGTTTTTGTGCACTGTTTAGAAGGAGCTGAATGATTTGTTTACTGGCTGGCGCGAGGGTCAAAGGGTGCGTGCAGAGCCGGATCGGCCGCTGTAGGCCGCGGTAACGAGTGCTGTGCTCGACCTGCAGTGTCAACCACCGACATGTCGCACAATCCACGTGTACCCTCAGCCGTGGTGCTCAACAATACACATCTTATGTAGTGTACAAACACGTCAACGTACAATACATCCCGCAGCGATATCGCCTTGTTAAACGTACGATACATCCCGCAGCGATATTGCCTTGTTAAACGTACAATACATCCCACAGCGACATCGCCTTGTTAAACGCACGATACATCCCACAGCGATATCGCCTTGTTAAACGCACGATACATCCCGCAGCAGTATAGCCTTGTTAAACGTACAATACATCCCGCAGCGACATCGCCTTGTTAAACGTACGATACATCCCGCAGCGAAATCGCCTCGTTAAACGTACAATACATCCCGCAGCGATATCGCCTTGTTAGACGTGCAATACATCCCGCAGCGATATCGCCTTGTTTAGACGTACAATACATCCCGCAGCGATATCGCCTTGTTAAACGTACGATACATCCCGCAGCGATATCGCCTTGTTAGACGTACAATACATCCCGCAGCGATATCGCCTTGTTAGACGTACAATACATCCCGCAGCGATATCGCCTTGTTAGACGTGCAATACATCCCGCAGCGATATCGCCTTGTTAAACGTGCGATACATCCCGCAGCGATATCGCCTTGTTAAACGTACAATACATCCCGCAGCGATATCGCCTCGTTAAACGTACAATACGTCCCAAACCGAAATCGCCTCGTTAAACGTACGATACATCCCGCAGCAGCATAGCCTTGTTAGTGGTGCGCAGACCCAGAGCCGTGCGAGGCTTTGGGAACAGTCGGACGAACGCCTGGTTATCGCACGCGTGTCCAGGTCCCTACACACTGGTTTCAGTCCGCGATGCCCTGGGTCACGGGGTCAAGTCTCGCTCACCGCAGCCCCTCACGCGGGCAAGTGGTGACTAGTGCTAGGAGCGACCGGTAGCAACGCTCACGGCTGAACTGCGCGCTTCTCGCCGCCTCTGCTGCGTGTGACAGCGCAACCTGAGGCTTTGGTTACAGGTCCGGTCGGCGCGCCGACCAAATCAAGCTTGTGTTTTAACCCACCGTTCAACACGTTCATTCACGAACAGTTCTGCGTGAGTAGTAGTATTGAATCGTTTTGACGATTGAGGTGGAAAACACTTCGAGGATAGTAGGGCGCGTTGATACGTTTTTTAAGGTAATCGCGATAGCTCTGCTCTACTTATACCTGTGATTTAGATCATGTGAACCAAAAGGAAATGTCATCAGTTATAAGCCATGACAACTTTTTTGCTGATCAGTAACCGGCCTCTGAAGAAACGGACGTATCCTGTACCATAGAACCCGCTGCTCTGTTGGGCGCCAGTTGACGGGAGCCTGCTGTCGCTCCGCTCGGCGCCAGCTGACCAGATCCTTTAGAGATGACTGGCCGTAGGACTGGTCCATTAGTCACCGAACTGGGTAGGAACAACTCATCATCAAAAACGCTACGATTGTGGGGGTAAATCCCAGTGCGCTCAAGCCCCCTACATGCATTGTCAACACTAAGCGCTCTCGACTTTTCTGACGGGGTTTTCTCGGCAGTGTTCCTGATGTAGTTCCTCGCCATAGCGTCTTCCGATTGAGGTAAGAAAATACTGCCAGTGACGACATACGTGCACGTGATCGATTGGCGAGACATCTCTTGGTTCGGTTCGGCAAGGTGAGTTGTGTTGATTCAGCGACAGTCAGCTCCGCGTCAGCATGGCCTTGTAGCAAACTCCGTCCCTGCAAATGCAACTACAACTCCTCCCTACACCGTTTGGGACAACGCCGCAGCTATTTAGGTATTCCTCCAACGGCGAGTGGAAAAGGTCGACACTACTTTTACTACCGTGACGAAATGCCCAGGCGATTGCGGCACCGCCCCATGTGCCTGCCGTCGGAGCGCGTGTTGTATCATGCCGCATCGGCGGACACCGACTTTATTTAGCGGTACACGCCCGCTGTCCCGCATACAAGCGCTCCCTGCGGCAGTAGACACTCCTGCGTGCAACTCCGGATTACAGTCTGCCTGCCTTCCGCGAACCGAAAACAGGAGGAGCGTATTGGAAGTCGGCTGTCACGTAAATGACCCGTGATGGTGGCCACCAACGCAAATGACGGCACCTGCGCCAACCTGAATATCAGCGGGGCAGCTGAGATACCAGAAGCCTGCCAGCGTGCGTCCTCGGCCAAGAATGACCCGACGGCAAGCCAGGAGCGCTCTTGCGGTCACGACAGCCCCAGCTCTCACGCAGGGTACGCGTTGACGACCGGGACCCTCCGGCGGAGGCACGACGCTGCGCTCCAGCCTGCGGCGAAAGTTCAAGAGTATCCACTCATCACCAGCGCTGACGGCCGTCCTAGTGTGAGTGCTGCCCTGTCCAGATCGCTGTCGTCCGACGGCAGATTTTCTGGCGGTTTGAAATATCGCGCGGAAGGTGACGAGGCCAACTTCAGGTATGGCGTGCGGGAAGACGTAACGAAGGCGAGGTACCGCTCTAGCCCAAGCGAGCGTGACCGGAATTGCACACCAGAACCTCGGGACGGCGCACCAGAGACCCGGAACAACACACCAGTGGCCCGTGACAACACACCAGAGGCCCGGGACGACACACCAGAGGCCCGGAACACCACACCAGAGATCGAGGCCGACGCCTCTGCCGGTGGCTGGGAGGTGCAGGACGACGCGGGCCGGCGACAACCGTGTGCTGTCCATGGACGAGCGCACGCTGCGCGGCCACTGCCGGGCGCTGGAGGCCGGCGCCGTGCGCGTCGGCGCCGGCCGCTTCACGCTGCCGCGCCACGCCCTCCTCAGCCTGCCGCGGTACGCGGCGCGGCGCACCGTGCGCCCCGGCGAGCTGGTGGTCTGCTCGGTGCCCAAGTGCGGCACCACGTGGACGCTAGAGATGGCCTGGCTGCTGGCCAACGACTGCGACTTTGCCGGCGCACGCACGCCGCTTGATCAGAACCGTTACACGGAGGTGGGAAATTTTTTCTACCTGGGCCTGACGCCCGCCTTTCTGCGCGAGTACGTGCCGCTGGTGCTGACGCGGCCCTCGAAGCTGGCCGGGCTCTGCCGGTTGGGCTACTTGCTGTTGCGCGGCCTCTGGCGCTCGGCGGGGCTGGTGAAGACGCACGTGCCGCTGTCGCTGCTGCCACCCGACGTGCTGGACACCAACAAAGTTATCTATGTGACCCGCAACCCGAAGGACGCGCTGGTGTCGTACTACCACCACTTCTCGCGCTGCCGCGTGGTCAAGTACAGCGGGTCGCTTGAGGACCTGGCCGAGGACTACATGGCCGGCCGGCTGCCCGGGCTGCCGTTCTTCTCGCACGTGCTGGAAGCGTGGGAGCGCCGCGACCATCCCAACATGCTGTTCCTGTTCTACGAGGACATGAAGCGTGACATGCCGGGCACGCTCCGCCGCGTGGCCGCCTTCCTCGGAAAGCAGCTGACGGACGAGCAAGTGGGCCAGCTGTGCAGCCACCTGGACTTCGCCGGCATGAAGAACAACAAGCACGCCAACTCGCTGATGTACCAGGACGCGGGCATCCTGGACATGCCGTCCTTCATCCGCGAGGGCCAGGTGGGCAGCTGGAAGCAGCAGTTGTCGGCCGACACCGACCGGCGGCTCAACGACTGGATCAGGCGCTCGGTGGAGGGCACCGGCCTCACGTTCCAGGGTGTCCAGTGAGCGCCGCCGGCTCGACGCGCCGTCGATGCTGCGGAAGACGAGTATGGAACATAGCGACGTGCGTCATGCGGTCCGCCTTTAGACCGTACACGCATGTTTTTGAGACACGTGTTTGCACAAGGTTTCCAGCGCCGGGTCATCGTGCAATCCCTGACTCGTAAAACGACACACGGTCCCGGGCCACGCCGATGCGGAACTGTAAGGTAGCCAGCGACCCGTGGCGGCTAATCTCGCACAGTTTTTGCTGTTCCGATCTTGACCCGCTGTGATGGTGACAGCACGATGTACTCGCAACGAAACAAAATTACATAGCTTTGGGTACAGCGTAGGCAGCTCAATAATTAGTGCGCGGTGGGTGGAAAGATGCACGGTCAAGATGCAGTACGCACACATCAGGTACAGTTCTAAAACTAGAAATATGTGATCAGAGACGCTGCTGCTAGGCTAAACAAATCTGGTGGGGACAATCGGGCCCGGCATCTTTCTTCTCGCATGCTCTGGTTGTGCACGACGGCTCGACAACTCCCATCATTAAAGACACCGGGCTTACACAGTGACAATAACACGGCTGCACCAACGGAACATGAGCACTCGAGGGTCACAGCAGCGGTAGGGGCGAGCCTGTTTTGCTTGTGGCGATTGGCGGTGCGCCTCTTCACGCTCTCGGACGCCCTCCTTAGCCGTGACACCCACCGCGCCACTCCGATGTCGCCAGATGCTCGAGCGAACTGTTTCGGGAATTCGTCTGCATTTCACGTGTGCGTAGATAAATTGTTACCCCACAGGTTTGGCCAGACCCCAAGTATCGCCTCTCCGACGTACTCGAGTCGGTCTCAAAGGTGGCGTTCATCGCGCCAGCGCCAGCGGGAACAAAACATGTTAACGCGACCTTAAACTGACTTTTTGATACGAAGGTACCAACGGAACACCATTTTCGCTGGTCAATTGAGAAAGAAAAATACACAGTACCATAACACATTATTGTCTTGCTTCGTAAATCACAAACTGTTTAAGATCAAGACAAGATCATATCCGTGAGCAAAATACAAACCGGGCACGGGTTTGTTTCCAGCGACAACCCTGGTGCCTGGAAACGAAACGCGAACTAACCGTAGTCGTGCACATCATGGTGCGTACACATACATTCCATTGATGCATTAGCTTCATTATAAACAGCTCGTAACTCCCAAATCCATCCGTATTCGATAAATACGCACACACAAAGCAACCACACCTCGTTCGCAACAAGATACAAATCGCATAATCGCTTGCGGCCAACCCCAAATGTCTGAGCACTACGAAACCTTCCCTTTACACGGATGCAAAGTAAGCGGCACACCTCGTCGTTAAGAAAGGCAAGTCAAATGTTACAGAAATAGCCACTGACGATCGCCACTCACAAAATATAAGGACCGCGAGCTTAAACAAGCCGGCAGAACTTCAGTTCGCAATGTACGACAGCCCGACCTGGCGCGAGGAAGTTCTTGTCCAACAGCATACTATTGAGCCCTGAAACTGCCAAAGTACATCTATGGTTGCGAGAGCACAAACACAAGGCACCACTGGTGATAAATGAATCAACGGAACAGTATGCTACAAGCACGGCGACCAGCCACGGCAGGCCTCTGACGGCGGACTCGGCCGCCCGGCACGGGAGACGAGCGATCCGACGACTCGGCGGCGACCACATGACCCGACGGGCGGGAGCCGACGGAGGGTCCGGGGCGAGGCTGAGGCGGGGCGCCGCCACCAGACGGCCTCACCGGAACATTGCACAGCCGCCGGCGCTGGCCAGGCACCCCGCGATCGTTGCCCCCCGGCTGATCAACGAACACGTCGACGCAACACCGCGAGGCTGACAAACTCAGGTCGCACCAGCCGTCGGGGTACTTTGGATCATTCGTGAGGGGGGACTGTCACATCCAGTGCAACGCGATACTCGAAATAATCGGAACAAGTTGCGAGGAATTCTTACAAAATACCACAATAACACGTGAGCACGACCACGAGAAAGCCACCCCCGCGCGGCAGACACCGCCGGCGCAGCGTCGCTGGCGCAGCCCGCACCTCCGCAAGCGGTGGTGCGTATCACAGAAACACCGTCCCGGGCACTCACGGCCCCACAAGAGCAGACAAGGTGGACGCATCCACCGAGCGGCAGGCCGCCTCCACGCGCTTACACCGCACGCAAACGGCACGGACGCACGCGCTCGCATGCAGGCGTGGCGATATGTTCCCACGCTTTAAGCGTCGCAACGCGTCGATTGAGTTTCAGTGATGCCACCTGGCCAACTAGCCATCACGGCCGTCAGCGCTGAGGGTCCTGCGGTGCCCGCCCGCGTCGGCTGGAGCATTCAAAGACACTGACTAGGCCCGGCCGCCGACGCCAGCGCAGGTCACGAACGCGCCTGGCGGAAAAACATCTGCAAAGGAAACAGAAAAAGTGGCGTTACGGAACTGTACGGGTCATGAGAACGGTGTCCTGGCTGTTCAGCCTCTGGCAAGGACACCACGGGCAGATGGCAAGCAGGGCCTGTCAGATAATCAGCGAAGCATACGGAAGACGTGTTGAAGAGATGAAAGCAATACATATGTTGCCACCTCAGACCCAGAGCACACGATATTAACGTTGTCAGCACCTCGTGATTATTTTTCCGTCATCCCACAGCGTTCGGTTAGACGACAGCACGTTTCCATTCGACGCAAATCACCAATACAGTTGACGTGCCCTCACAACCAAAAACCACCAGTGATCCCACTCAAGCAGTCGTCGCCTCCCATCAGAACACGTCCATTGTTTTTTGGATAAGAGCCCTTTCGACCAGAACTGATCATTTCAGGGCTATGGGAGGAAGGAAAATGGTTAACGGCGGGACAGACTAGCATGCGCCTGGGGGGCCAACCACCGAGCTTAAACTAGCGCATGCGCGCTGGGTACCCGGTCAGGTCCGCCTTCCCACGGGGCTCTCGGCCCACTCGTGGCTGATGCATGCAGCCTGCCCCGGACAAGCGGGGTGTCGCGAGAATGCAGGATGAGGCGAGATAGAGGATAAGAGAGACCGATGCGGATACCGTCTAAGAACACGTCCAGGTTGTCGCGGCGCGGCGGGGCGTCCGAGAGAGGCCGCGAGGCCGCCTACCTTGGTGTAGTTGCGGAATATCTTGCTGTCGGAGCGGAGCGCCTGGCAGAAGCGCTGGATCACGTCCGGCTCCAGGTCCAGCGTGGGCATGTACCGGCTCTGCAGGTAGCTGACCAGCTCCTCGCCCTGGCGGCAGCGCTCACGCTGTCGTGACCGGCGCGGCGCACCGGCGGTCGCAACACAGACAGAGCGCACACACGGCTGACAGCAGCGCACAGCAGGCTCAGCTCACGGACCAGGTGACATTAGGACATGGTGAACGTTCCATGCAACCACCATTGAGGTCTTCGGCGATCGCTGAGAGCAGATTAAATATGATACGCCCGGTAAATGTTGCACTCTAATCCTACGCATCTAATCTCATCATGAACCTTTTTCATGGCTCATTAAAGTAGGGGCTGGTCATAGAAGTTCGAGAAAACCGTCCCTGACGTTCGCAACACCGACACGCGATCCCAATCATCTGTACCCGGCACAACGCTCTCCCTCTCCTCAACGACAATCCCATCGACTTCATGCTCTCACCAGCCTTGTGCCCGCACCTTTCATTCACCGCTCCCCCCCCCCCCGCACCTGTCCTCGCCGTCCCCCCGCCGGCCGTCGGTCGCCCGGCGCTCACCCGCTGCTCGTAGACGGTGCGCAGGCAGAGGGCCGACTCGTGCAGGGCCTGCATGGTCTGCGCGTCGGACAGGTCGAACGTGCTGCTGAGTGGCGCGCGGAAGCAGGCCGGCACCACGTGCTCGTACAGGAAGGGGGCGAAGTCGGCCGGTCCCTCGCGGCCCCACGCCTCCGTCACGCGCCGGAGGATGGTGAAGCACGAGCGCTGCGCCTGCGGGCCGCGACGCCGCGCGCCGGTCAGCAGACGGGGATGGCTATGGAAGTGGGCTGCTGCGTACGGGACGGGACCATGAACGCCATCTGACAATAGCAAGCTTCAGAGGCGCTCGTCGGTAGCGTGTACGCTAACCTGATCGCAATTGCTGCCCAGGGCTCTCGTGACGAGCCCAGTCTAGAAGGCAGCAGACACGCACACAGCATAAAGATGCCTAAACAATACTTAGATCTCAATAAAAGAAGCAGTGAAGGCCCGCACAGGCGGCAAGAAGATGCCGAAGAAGAAGAAGAAGCCAAAAACACTAAACGCTTTCGATGTGCTTGAGGCATGATCACCACGGCGTATCACATGAGGACACGACCACCACCCAACCCGCGCTAACCACCAGTCCATGTAAGGCACCTCGAGGCCACAGCCTGAACCGCACCATACACAGACCTCCGCCTTGAGGTCAGCCACTTACCACGGGGTCAGGCAGCTCGACAGCACCCTGCACCACGGACAGGAGCACGGCGTGCAGGTGCTGCGGCTGCTGCTGCGCCAGCACCTCCAGCCCGTTGTTGGAAACGAGCGACGCCAGGAAGAGGGTTAGTAGCAGCGCTGCAGCGTCTGCCGGTCTCGCGCGCCTGCCGCCGACACCAGACGCACGCGCGGGGTGATAAAGCCGCCCCCATTCATTCTACGTGCCCATCGTGCCACGATTTGAGTAATGAAGGCGCTCCTTGTGACACGGTTTGTAGAACAATGCCCAGACTGCATTACCCGGCTTCCAACAAGTATGCCGGTGCCCCACTCGGGTAGATGTCAGATAAGGCAAACCCGCGTTCGGGATACTTCATCTGGCGGACCGCATCAGGGTACGAGAACTCTTGTGGGACTCAAAACACCGCCAAGGCCACCATCTCGCTCCGACGAGAAGCTGTACTCCGTACTCGTCCCTGTCCGCCCCCCCCCCCCCCCCATCGAGCTCGCCGCGGCGCCGTACTCACCACCTCGTCGGTCGTCGTCGATGGGGCTGGCGCAGTCCGGGCGAAGATCGTCTCCACGATGGGCATGAAGGCGCGCGTCACGAAACGGGATCACTTCCTTTCTGAAACAGCCACGAGTAGCTACACTCAGCGTGTCGCACCTGCTCGCGCGCGCCGCCCGCGCCGCGGTTCGGGCCGCGGCCGGCCGACACCGGCTGCTGGCGTGCCGGTGTCAAGCGCATCTCGGCCAAGCTCCTCGCACTTTTGGAGCGCAGGTAAGTGCGTGTTTATGCGCTTAGTGTTAGCACGTATGGCAATGGCGATTATGAGACGTTAATGCAAGCCATAACACATTCACTGCAGGAGGTTACATGTCTGGTTACTCGTGACATGCATTTACAAATGCAGATTCTCCTAAATGCATAAACGTGCATTGCCGATGTTAGCGCATAGCAATGTTCGTACCCCAATTATTCTTTGATGCATGCAGTTGGTCACATTTGGTCACGTCACATAACTTCCAAGGCATCCGCGTTATCGTGGCAAGCGTCCGCAGGTCCATAAAGGAACAACGAAGCAAGTAAATACGAAAACTGGCACATATATGGGGAATTAGCGGAGAACATGATATCATCACAGGGTAAATTATAGTTGAAAGAAGCCCGGTACAAGTGCAGAAACACAACTAATAATGGCCGTTGTTTGCTACATCACGAGACTGCGGTGACAATACCGGCGCAACGTTCTTTCCTGAACTAGAAACCAGCCAGCCTAGCCCATTGTTGGAGTGAGAGAAACCCCGCTGACAGCATTCAAGACTGTGTTCGTAGATGGCTGCGCAACGTTTACTGGTACGTGCCGACATGCGCCTTCCTATTACCCAAAGCGGTCTGACGACCGGCCCAGCGCGTAACACAGCGGGCGAATCCGGCCGGCTTCCCCCTCCCACCCACATCCAGAGACCCTCAAGCGCGACAGCAAGACAAACATCGGGCAAACCCGGCCGGCCCTTCCCCTCCCACCCACATCCAGAGACCCTCCAGCGCCCCAGCAAGACAAACAGCGAGCGAGTCCGGCCGGCTTCCCCCTCCCACCCACATCCAGAGACCCTCCAGCGCCCCAGCAAGACAAACAGCGGGCGAGTCCGGTCGGCGCCCTCCCACACCCACGTCCGGAGACCCTCCAGCGCACCTTGTACTTGGCGACCACCTGGTTGATGAGCGGCAGGTACTCCTGCACCTTTCGCACGTCAGCGGAGCGCAGCAGCGCCTCGGAGGCGGCCGGGATGTAGGGCAGCACCTCCTCCTCCAGGCACACCACCAGCCGGTGCAGCAGCTGGATCACGCCCGACTGCAGCAGCGGGTACTGGCGCGGGCCCTGCGGCGGCACACGGCGCACGCCGGTCAGACGGTCAGGCACCTGGGTCACATCGAGATGGAGCAGTGAAACACAGGGCGGACCAACGCCCGACCGCATCTTCAGATAGCTTATCGTTGACGCTGTGAGGATGCGTGGGAAGAACTTGACTAAAGACGGAGTTGACCCTTCCACTCCATAGCACGTTCCTTCACCCCTGGAGCGATGCCACCAGAGCACACCGACATTAGCACACGAAACCGAGAGGCTAGTTTGGCCATAAACCACCCCGCGGCGGCGCACGTGCCCGGATCGCTTCAGCCCCGTCGTCGCGCGCGACCCACCTGCAGTGTGTTCAGGAAGATCTGCAGCGCCTCCAGGTAGAGCTGGACGCAGCCGACCAGCCGCATCGTCTGGCCGGCCGAGAAAGCCTTGGTGGTGCGGGCGGTGACGCCGACGGCGTGGCGCGCCTGCCGCTGCAGCCGCTCGGCCAGCGGCGAGCCCTCGGGCGCCGACTCCAGCTGCGCCGACAGCGTGCCCACCTGGCCCACCACCGGGCCCAGCAGCTGCTGCAGCTGCTCGCACTTGTGCTGCCGAGGTGGACACGGGCAGGGGTCACCAGGTGGCGAGGTGGGCGGGTGGAAGCATTGGGCGTCACGCAGCGAGAAAAGGCCGAGCGTCGCATAACTGCCCGAGGTGAGGAATGGAACACTTGCGCCCCGTCACGTGCTGACACGAGATGGTTCAATATTCAAACCAGCCAGCCATGATCCCCAAAGCAGCTAATACCACTGGCATGATTAAAATAGTTGAAATGAGCTCCCAATGCGGGATTTTAATGACACCGAACACTGTTCAAAATGTCCCGCAAACATGAAGCACCCGATGACAAAGAAAAACACATCAACCCAAAAGAACTCGCCAAAAGATCACCATTTTCGCTGCAAGATCTAATCTGACTAACCAAAACCCCACGAGCACTTTAAGGCGCACCATTCACCGAAACCTCTACACCACGTGCACGGAGCGATGCAAGCACGTACGTTGTTGTCCGACGCCGCCGAGATGGTGAGGACGGCGACGGTTTCGAAGAGGTACAGTACGGACGCCGAGCACGCACCATGTTGTCCGACGCCGCCGAGATGATGAGGACGGCGACGGTTTCGAAGAGGTACAGTACGGATGCTGAGCACGTACCTTGTCCGACGTCGCCGAGATGATGAGGACGGCGACGGTTTCGAAGAGGTACAGTACGGACCCCGAGCACGTACCTTATTGTCCGAAGCCGCCGAGATGATGAGGACGGCGACGGTTTCGAAGAGGTACAGCTGGTCCTCGCGGTTGAGCAGCGTGGCGTCGGACGGGTCCAGCGAGAGCAGGTTCTTGATCTGACCCAGGATGGTGTCCGTGAATGGGCCCATCTGCACCCTGACGAGGACACAGCCGAGCTCAGCACGCGGCAAACTTCAGAACTGATGCCAGGCGCGTCAGCACTCGGCATGAACAATGAATCACCTCGATAGATCCCTGCAACTACCCGAGCAGCATTCACTCAGGTATTGGCTGCTGTTTTTATTACACACTTATGGCAGCAACGTCCTTGCTTACATACTAAAGATTGACGATTCTTCAAAACTTTCTTCGGTAACTTCACAAACATTATACGTCTTATTCCTTATGGACCTTCTCCAAAAATAAAACGCATCTCGCAAATAAAAGGACAACATCCATCGCATACACTAAGCCCATCGCAACAGACGGCTTCACAGCTGCCTCTACAGATGCCATACCAAAACCTGCTTACTTGAGACATTTGATGAAACGCGAGAAGAGGTAGACAGCGCGCGCCTGTTGCGCTCGTTGGGGTGGTTCATCCCCCGCTCGTCCAGGAAGGCAGTCAACACCTGCCAGGGAACCAGTCAGGCCATCAGTCACCATCAGGACACTCAGGACACCACTCACCAGTCACCATCAGAACACTCAGGACACCAATCACCAGTCATCAGCAGACAACACAGGCAGTTAACATGGGGAGCACAGCACACCAGGACGGCTAGTGTACAGTCCACGGTCGTTCGTAACCAGGCCTAGGAAACGTCGGAGCTGTCGAAAGAGAGCTCAACAGCGCAGTGGACTCCCAATACATAGGTTCACATCTCACGCGCTACGTATCTCTAACGGTGGACACGGCGCAAGCAACAGAACACCAGCAACTCGTGCGGCGGACGTTACGCCTACGTTACACTGAACCGCTTAAGTGTAACAGTATAGTTCAACAGCGCTGTGAGGCGCAGGTTACTGACAGTCGCGCGCACCGCCACGTGCCGCGTCAGTGCTCGGCTGCATGTTCGTTTCAAACGGCGGCCCACCTGCGGCAGGAGGGCCGCCTCCACGGTGAAGAACTTCTCGTAGCGGGGAGACCCGTCTCGAAGTACTGAAACGGCACGCTGTGGTGCGGGTACG